CTTACTTCACGTTGTCTTCACGATAACAAATAATCTGTGACATGCCTTGGTGGTGAAACCACGCGTCTCATCAGTAGCGCGCAGCGCTGCATGACTGGATAACGCACGCGGCTATGTGACCTTGAATAACGTCAATTCTACCCCGTTCTCGCAGATGAAGCATCGTCAAATCTAATATAAGTCGATGCAAGTATCCGTCTCCTCTCTTTCTCTCCTTGATACTCTCGGTTTCACTGCAGCAGAGCATCACGCCCGCTAGTATCGACAAAGCGCTTGTCACGCTGCGAAGTCTGACTGACAGAGACGACGAATCACACTGGGCCAGCCTAATTTGGTTACAACGGCATCCCACTGCTGTCAACGGCCAAGTCCGACATCTGCTGAATTACGTCGTTAGTGTTGATGTGCATCGTCGATGTAATACTGTCAGATAATGCGACAAGGTCCTTTTAAGGGCCACCCTCTGGTCAAGCACATGGGTGACTAACTCGGGTTCTTTTCAGTACGACCTCCGCCATTCAGTGGGATTTGCGACAAATCAAACAAAAAGTTCAAAATCTTTATTATTAAAATTAACTTGAATTTAAGTATTTAATATGAAAATGATATTTAATTAATAAAAAACTTTGTTAATAATAATTAATAAAAATAAAAAATTGTTAAAATTTATTCAACATCGCCGAACGCATCGGCAACATGCATTTGTATATAGATACCTATTATTAGTTTCATATTTTTTCGGTGCTGCAGATCCCCTGGGCAAACTTCGCGGATCCCTGGGGATCTGTGGATCATCGGTTGAAAACCACTCGGTTAGATAATGGAAAAATGCTTGCAAGTAGTTTGTGGATTACATTATTGAATACTGTGACTTGAACTACACATTTGCCATGTATCAGCTAACAATGGTTGAAAGAGCAATTTAAAAATAAAATAAAAACAGGTGTAAACTGTTATGTACCATAAGCTGCTTAGGATAAATAACTGTATTCTTCTGTTACAATGTGCAGTCATTGTAGAAAGAAAATGGGGTCATTTAGATTTGTTTTGTTTTTTGTGGTGGTTACAATGTTGGCCAAATCAACCAAGTCTGTAATGTGTTGTGTAGAAAAAATTAACAGATAAAGTATAAAGATTTACTCAAAATAAACTTAATATTCATTTGAAATTTTATAAAATGTAAGATGAAGAAAAATTAATTTAATCTTAACATGTAAATCAGCTTGCATTTAGACTAGTCAAGAGTATCAGTAAACTTACTTTTTAATAGTTTGTGTATATAAATATATATATATCTATAGTATCTAGGTGTGTTGGGCTAAGGATTCTTCTATAGGTGTCTGTGACTTGTTGGTGATAAATTCAACAATAAATAAACAGCATACTCTTTGCCTGTTTTAAAATGATATATTCTAAGCAAGTTAAAAGTATGTACAAACATTCTTTACACTATGGATATCAAAGTTGTATCTTAAATACAACACAGTAATCTTCTTGTTAAAAGTCCACTTAGGCCAATTCAATTGCTTTAGAATTCAGTTGACAAGCTGAACTATTTTTCTCTGTTTTTATCTTAAACACTATCAGTGTATAATTCATTATTCTTTTCTTCTTATCACAACAGTATTGGTGTATAATTCACTAATGTCGCCTCATGAGTTACCACAGTTGTATCTTGAATTTCCGATACTCATCATCTTTTCTTATTTAGGCTTCCTTCCAAATAATCTTCTCTTTTTGTCAAAGTCCTCGCAGACAAGTTCAATTACTTTAGAACATCCTTTGACAAGACAGATTATTCTCCTAAAATGTCAGAAAACTGTTAATCTCACTTTAACATATCAACTGTTAGGCTTTTCACTCCTGTGACAGTTAACTTTACATTTTCTAACATTTCTCCGACTGAACATCTCTTTTACGTGACTTTACTTTTTGCTCTTATCCCGCTCTCGTCTGGCTGCTGCTATTTATATCTCTCACTGAGGCTTTCTAGAAATTTTCATAGCCTCGACATAAATAACTTACAAACACAACTTCCAATAATTGTCTGGTTTTAACTCTCTTATAATAAAATGTCAACTCACAAAATTAATCAATTAAAACTACTTACACTAAACAGTCTTTTATATCTAACACAGGGTCTGAGTCACACTCTGACTCCATATTCTCACAGACAAATTTTTTATAAAAATATTTAATGAAAATCTAATCTTTTGTGTACAAAAGATTTGTAATGTTTACTAAAAGCTTGTCAAATTTCGTTAATATACAATTACTACATTAAAAATTATAGTCTGTATACTTTCATGGTTACCTGGCGGTTGCAAGGTCAGTAAAAGTGACCCAGCCTGTATGGAGAGAGAGTGGTAATACCAGCTTTCTCATTGTGAATCTCTGATTTTGTAATTGGTTGTAGATTGATAACTTGTGTTCAAAGACTGATAATAAGGCAACTTTATTCCTACATCTGACACTACTAAAAATCTAAATCAGGTTCCTACTGGCTTTCACAGCTTCGTCTTTATCGTATACTGTAACTTCTGAGAGACTTGCAAAACTTTGGGATGAAGTGGCATAAACAGAGGAATATTTCTGTTGGTTTATCTTTCATTAGATACTTGACCAAGAATTATCCATGCTTTTCAGTGTAAAGTAATCTTCTGGAACAAGGTCATTTTTAGCAATACGTCATATTTCAGTAGTTGATCCAAGTACTTTAAACCTTTTAGTGTGTTCAACTAAACGTCTTGTTTTTTTGTTTTTTTTATATCTGCAATTTCCAGATGGCAGTGAGTCATTCCTAGATGGAGCAGCAGCTTAATTATTTGTAATACCAAACAGGTACAAGTACACTCTGCAACATATTACTACTCATTATAAGTTAAACACCAGCAACATGGTTGAACACAAAATTCCCTGATATGAATTCTCTCTCTAAGTGTCGTGGTGAGTTGCTTAACAAAAATGTGTCTATTAGATACACTTGTCCACTTTTCACATAATTGATACGATTATAGATGCAAAAAACAGTAGCATTACAGATGACAAGGAAGTTCCCAATTTCCCTCTGTTTTTACTCTTGAGAAGAGGTGTTTTTTTTTCAATTTTCGTGTACTTTCTCAAAAAATGAAAGTTCGTTTGATTATCAGTATTATCTGCCTTCTAATCTGAAATCGTTAAATTCATTTAACTTCTGTTAATAATCTGACAACTGTGTTAGTCTCAGCAATTTTATCATTTTTTTTTTAAATACTACTGAGACAGATTTAGCCATTGATTTAAATTCATGATGTGTCATCTGGTTATTTGCAGCCCTAGGTCAAGATTGAACAATTGAATTGGAAAAATTATATAAAATAAACTTTTAATTGTTCTTACAATTGTTCGGTGTTCAAATTTTATGTATTCAATTTTTTTTGTAGGAAAATATTTAAACTTGCTAATTTTGATTTTGGATTGATTTTAGCATTCTCCAAATGAAAATATTTGTGGTTGGGAATTTCCTGAATTTCTTATGAGCATAGTATGGAACTCTTAGCTTCTTAGGACAGAATTTGAAATAGGTTTAAACAAAATAGCTCTAATTTGGATCTTGTAACTTTAATACAAGTGTAGTTTATAATTTTAAACAATCACTGTTTCTCAACCTACGTTGTCATGGTGCAATATAATTTTCTGTATCTCAGTTTGGAAGTTATATGCTTATGATTGAAGCAGATATTGAAATCTCTTTTCTGTACAGGTCCGGCATGGCCAGGTGGTTAGGGTGCTCGACTCGCAAACTGTGGGTAGCAGGTTCGAATCCCCATCACACCAAACATGCTCGCCCTTTCAGCCGTGGGGGCCTTATAATGTGACGGTCAATCCCGCTATTCGGTGGTAAAAGAGTAGCCCAAGAGTTGGTGGTGGGTGGTAATGACTAGCTGC